GGATTCAAGCCTTATTTTGATTTTTGGTATTCTTGCGTTAAATAAAAACTCATTGTCGTGTGATGTGTTGAGTGGAAAACAGCAATATTCAGTGTTGTGTAGAGTTGCCATACGTCCCGGAAAACCGGGACTGTCATCGGTTTTTGACTTTGTGTCCCGGTGTCCCGAAAAATGTTTTTGGGACGCCTATATGTCCCGGTTTTAGGAAAAAATTTAAATAATTGATATCGGGAGTCAACATGTTAATGTTAAGGATAACGAATAATTGATAAATCCATAGGCTGAATATAAAATAATAATATCGGGAATATTCAAGGACAACAAACAAGCAGTTTACATGTTTTATTTTTATATTTTGTCGATAATAATCGATACGGCCATACGGATGATACACAGACAGACTAATGTCTTTTAGATCAGAAGAACGTAGGTCGTAGGCCGTAGCCTAAATTGTTCGTTTTTATTATTTTATTCGTTATTATGATATTATGGCACCAAAAAGAAAATGTCACTTTCGTGACGAGTTTTCTGTTACTTGGAGTTTTATAAAAAAATGTAGAAATGAATTTGAAGCATATTGCACTTTTTGCAAAAGCTATTTTCAAGTTGGCCACGGTGGAAAATCTGACATAGTCGATCATATTAAGTGTAACAAAAATACTTTATTTACTATTTTTCTGTCTGTCCCGGTGTAGTAACCAGTCGCTCTCACTGTCCACTGATCATTATTCGTTGGCATGTGGTTAGGACTAAGAGGAAAGCCGGTCAAATCTCGGAGGAGGAGATGACGGACCAGCGGGATAGGATCTTGGACGTCTGGCAGCATAGGTGGGATGTCAGCGAGAAGGGTCGGTGGACCCACTCGATGATTCCCGACATCAGGAGGAGGCTGGAACTGCCTCTCGAGGTCGACCACTACGTAAGCCAGTTCCTAACCGGGCACGGTGATTTCAACGCCAAGTTGGAGTCCTTTGCCCTGCGGGGAGCGGGTCTGTGTAGGTGCGAGACCGAGGACGAGACGGTAGACCACGTGCTCTACAGGTGCCCGGCTCTCTCTGTTCAGAGGGGTCGGGTCATCAGGCTCATAGGCGAGGACGTATGGCCGTGTCCGACCAAGGTGTTTCTGGACACTAGGTCGAACTACTGCGCTCTGCGTCGCTTTGCTAGGGAGGCCATCGAGGCCAAGAGGATTTCTGACAGGTTAGGCTGATTAAAGGTTAGGTAGGACCGTCATAGGCGACGGCAGGGTTGGTGGGGACCCTGGGTTAGCGCCCCGGCGCTGGCCCGAATCTCCACTGACGGGCCCACCACTAGCCGGCTGGGGAGCCAGAATAGTGGGAGGTCACTCCGGTGACCGGGTTGACCTACCGACGTCAACTTAAAACCTAGTCGGTGCCACGGGAGAGGGGAGCCCCATCGCACGCTGCACGGTCCGCCGTCAGAAGCGATGCCCCTCAAGGTTGAGGAGCCTAACTCGGCTGAAACGTGGTGGCTGTGGGACCAGCGCTCGATAGTAGAACAACAAACCACTGTACCTAGTGGGTGGTCTGGTACCCAGGTGGCACTTAACTGAGTCATCCCGGACCCAAGAAAGGTACGGGCCCTCGGGCCCTGTGCCGGTGTTCCACAGAAGACCCTAGCCCGGCGGCGCTTGCGTCGCCGCACTAGCTCCACCCTCGCCCGTAAGTAGCGCTCAGCACTAAGGCACGGACGAGTGGCGGTAGGCGAGAGCCAAAAACCCGGAGACTCCTGTCCACTGATCGTGGCTACTGCAATGCTTTTTTTACGACGAATGCACGATGTCACAGGAACGGAAGAGGTTTGAGTTTGGGTTAAGAATGTAAATAACAAAATATTAACAATATTAATATAAGTGTTTATTACAAGTAAATAATTAATAAAATAACTTTAACAATAAAACATGAAATTTGAAACTTGTCGATTTAATAGTAAAATACTAAACCGGAGAGCTGTGTGTGTAACGTTTCCCTAGAGGCTCTTGGTAAGTACGGGTGAAACGTTTGTGTATGAACTAACTCTACCTGCTTCTCTCATAACTACTCCTATTTATATGAGACATGATGCAGTGATTAAGGAAAGGATGATTTACGTCATAAGACTGCAGGCGTGATGTGCCTAAACTCGGCTTTATCAAATCGGATGGCACCATCGATATGCTTATTTGGTGGCGTGATGTTGCTCCGACCGACTGTGCTTTGGAACAACGTTTTTATGCAAAAACGTCGGTTTACTACATTCCTCCCCCCTTAGAATGATACTCCGTATCATAAACGTGGATGCACGGAATATCCGGTATTTCGATATGTGGACTGTATAATTGCAGAAAGTTGTCCTGTGGTGGGTCTTGTATACGGCCCGTGGCTGAAACATCCTTGTTGGGTGCTGATTGTTCAGGTTCTTGGGGTTGGACTGGTAATTGAAATTGTACTAGTTCAGATGCTGGTTTTCGTTTGATAAATCTCCTTGGTCTCATAGTGTGATTTCTTCTGTACCATTGTGTTTGCTCTATACAACTTATTATAATTAACAAAAGGCAAACAATGGTTATCGCACTGGTTACATATAAATATAATAGATAGTCGTGTCTGTTTTTGCTAGTTTTGATTTCTTCTGCTTCTGTGTCTTTGGTCATCATTTCTTTAATTTC